TTTTCTAAAATGAAAAGTTTCCTAAGATGAAAAATTTTTTATTTTAGAAATCAATTTCTCAATTTGAAAGTCAATTTCAAATTTGGAAGTTACCTAAAAAGGAAATTAGTTTCCTAATTTAGGCTTAAGGCTAATTTGAAAAATTGCTTCCTAATATGGGTCTCCTAAAAATATCTAACCTAATTTATTTGGATACTTCAAATTAATTAATAATCAATTACGTCAAAATAGTTTAGGCCAATAGGTTTAATTTAAAAGCTTGAAAGATATTTTAATAGAAGAATAAATATGAGCCTTATTGAATAAAGATCAAGGTTTAAAATAATGAGATCAAAAAGCCCACATACATAATAACTCCTAATCTTTAAAGAATTAGAAACCAACAACGTAGAGTATATATGAGACAAGTTGGCACCACTTCCTTGTCCTTGGAGGACAAGGAAGCCTCTCCCCTATGAATAGAATGAGAGGTACGAAAAAGAGGGACTAAGGCTAGGATAACATAGCTTGTTAGAAAAATAAGAAGAAAATAGTTTTCTCCCTCCAACACGCATGCCACCTCTCCCATCTCTTTTAGGATTATCGTAAAATATCCCTAAATAGATTCTAAAGAAAAACACTAAACAAGTCGGAAAAGGTAGAGCTAGCACTCTACTAATTTTGAGTGCTTCTTATGTGAGTGCATGGACTAGTGGATTATTGATAGAGGTTGAACGCTTAGAAGGCTCATTTTCTGCTAAAGTTAAAATCTATACTACAAGGGATAATTCTTTATTTATGCTTTAATTCATGTATATATGATTAGTTAATTCAATGACATGATCTTGAAAACTTTAGATGAATAGAAATTTTTGTTGTATTTCATACCTCTATAGGATGCATGATCCTTCGGAGAAATTAAGGTAAAAAAACAAGTGATAGTTGTCTTTTTCTATTAGGAGATACAAGGATGAGATTTTGTGTGATGTTATGCCGATAAGCGCGGGTCATATTTTGCTTGGAAAACCTTAGCAGGTTGTTAGAAAAGTGAAACATGATGAGTTCAAGCAACGGATATTCATTTGAAATGAGGGGACAAAAATTGACACTAGTTCCATCGTCACCTAAGCAAGTTTATGAGGACCAAATTAGCTCGAAATAAGAAAATGAGAGAAAAAAGTTGGGAGCACTCAAACCTTCATTCTTAACAATTACTATGTTGCTACTAATAAAGACTTAACCAAGGGTGATTACAAGCCTAAGGTCGAGGCATCCAAATTCAATTTTAATTTATGAGAACTAGTGTTTGAGGTGAAGTTAGAGGGTATTAAACGAGAAGAGTCCGTGCTCATTGATGACTTAGCAAAATAATGGGAAAAGCTAAAAGAGGACGAGTTTGATAATCTTATAGTTGTTCAAGAGAAGGAAGACAATGAGAAGATTGTGGATGTTTAAAAGAATATACCATTTATTGAATTTATCCTTCCGGAAGAGTCCAATGACAACAAAATCAAACTTGAATTTTTCTAGCCATTATTTGCTCATATTTTACAGAGTTAGGTATGGGCATATGCTTTTAATGTTTTGTTATTACAAGATTCGAAGATGAGTATTCTCCAACCAAGGAAGTATGATGAGCATCAAGATGAAGATTCGAGGATGAATCTTTTCGAGGAAAGTGAGAATATTGAGAATAAAGAAAGTTAAGGCTATATTGATGGAAACCAATGAGCCAAATGGACTAACAAGGTGGCGTCTCCAAGAGAGGTCCAAGATGACGAGTTCCAAGTCTAAGATTTGATCCATTATGCATTAAAGATGATTCAATGACGCGTGCTAGAGTCGAGAAGCTTAAAGAAGCTCTCATGGGTTGATTCAAGAGTGTTGGTGTCATCTTAAAAGAGGAGGGGGATACAAGACTTGTCAATCCGATCCGAGTCCAACATTAGACTCCTTAAATCATATTGGACCTATTTTCTTATATCTAACTTAATTATAATTAGAACTAATTAATTAAGTAATTTGGGCTAAATGTTTTAAGCTCTATTATTTGTGTATTCTTTTAAGTCCATTAGGATTTATTTATATTCTCCTTAGGTGGCAAGGGCATGTAAAGTCCTTTTAGTGGTTAGGAATGACGTGTTTAGCTCTATTTAAAAGCTAGTTTAGTTCTGTTTTGAACTTACGGAATAATTTGAAAAGTTAATAAATTGAGAGGATTTTCTTCCTTTGTTCTTTTGAGAACTAAATCGACTTATCAAGGATTGCAACCCTCGTGGTGTCTCCGAACTTATCATCCTCCATAAGGTGTGGCGTTCTTCACTCCACTACATTATAGCTTCGGTTCTTGCCTTTTTATAGGCAACAAATTGGGTTCCGCTTATTATAACCTGATTGGACAAGCTTTTGGTGTTGTCTAGCGACAAAGGTATTCGGACATCTTGTCTTTATACGTGGGGTTCTCATCATTTATACCGCAAAATATGATAGTAATTTTAATTTCTAATTTTTCTAATAATCAAGATAAAAAGTTTTAATTTTTTATTTGTTTTAATGTACAATATTTATCGTGTTAATTTTTATTGATTAATTATGTTTTTTTTATATGCTAAGAACAACAATAAAACATCATTCTTCCCATTCTCAAAAATCGACAATAATACACGTATATGCGGATGATTTTATTGGTCTAAATTCTAAAGAAAAACGATCTCCATGTATAAAAACTACCTTAGCAATATCCTGGCGGTTAAAAAAAGAAAAGAAAATTGTTAAATACTATTGCATTTGTGGTGACATGGATGCTATCTATCTTCTTTAACATATGCTCGTAGAAATGACAACGATGTGTCTTCGTTACATGGCATAATATTTGAATGGTGTAGAAGAGCCCAAATCATGTTAGGGAGGACTGTGGCAAGTTTTGTTGGTCCACAACTTTAGCACATCAAAGACACCTAAACCATAGTTGGAAAAAAAAAGGTCTTTTAGGGTTGTTGATATGAATTTGTAAGCAATCCAGGATCACACATATTTTCATGGCAGTACACAAACTTGGGGGTGTGTGGGAAAGGACAACCAGACTCGCTCTTAACCCTCAAGCAGAGCCCAAAGTTGAACTTATCCATTCCTACCGCTCTTTCCCACAAAACCGAAGCACCTGAATGCCAAACTGCAAATATACCCATTAGCAGCGATATTACCCAAAAATATAAAATATAAATTAGTTTGTTTATTTTTAATAAACCAGTATGTTTTGTTTTAAAAAATAACCATCTAATTTCTTTAGCAGTATTGATTACGTTAATTTTAATATTATTTTATTTTAAAAAAATTTCATCAATTCTTTTATATTTTTATTCCTTAAAATATTTTTAAAATGATTAAATTACGAAAATATTTAAACATATCAAAAATGATTTTTGAAAACAAGTGATACTCGAACTCGACTAATTTATAATTTACTCGGCAACGGCCGCCCAGTTATATCCTTTGGTATGTGCACATGTCAAAAACCCAGCTCATCACCCTTAAAAAAAAGTCACGTGCTTATCACGTTATTAAACAGCCAGGTAAATTTTATCTTCACTAAGCTGTCAGACACATCAACCTTTATACTTTCATTTTATGGCTATTTGGTCCCTCCTTCAAACAAATATGTATGTTTTTCTCAAGTGGAGGCTTAAGTATGAGATCTTTTAAGAAGATGATAATTGAGCTATTGAGTTTATTGACAAACTATGAGATCCTCATATCGTGTGAGCATAGATGAACGGTTAGGATAATTTCGGAATCAACATATTGATTTTGCCTATACATACAATTTTATTATTGTTATTATGTTTATATAATGTGTTTTTATTATATTCATATAACCTATATTGTAAATTTAGGATTTATCAATTTATTTTGATGACAAAATTGATGTTTTTTAGATATATTTAATGATAATATTTTAAAAAAATAATTTACATCTTAATTGAGATTAAATCTTTCATTGGATGATATTTTTAATCTTTCATTGGATGATTTTAAAAATATATTCTTTTATATCGATATAATGTATTCGGATAAATTTAATAAAAAATTTTAAATATTAACTTTAAAATTTTAAATTTAAAATAAATTTCTTTAACTATCATGCCAACAATTTACGTTGCTGTTTAGTGTTATTAAAAAAGAAAAGAAAAAAAAAAGAATTGTAATTGTTAAATTGCATAAAGTTTTAGTAAAAGAGTTAACATGACCAAAATGAAAATTTTAAGGAATTATAGTACTAGTCCCAAAACGGCAGTTTCCAAATCTGGAAACAAAGAACACAATTTCTCTCGTACTTATCCATTAACGAAGATTGGTTAATATTAAGTTAATGACTTAATACGTATCTGTGTAATAAAGTAATTTTTCAATCTCTTTTTTATATTTATCATTAAATTAATTTTATTTTTAAATATAAATTAAGTATTTAATTTATATTTTATTAAGATTTTTCAAACTAAATTACTAGAATTAATCATATATTTTGCATATGAAAGTTTTTGTTTTGTTTTTTTTTTATGCTTTGTAAAGACATTTTAGAAATACAAAATAATTACGTATGAATCAATTTTGGTGGCTTGATTTGAAAATTTTGATTAAAATAAAAAATTGATTAAAATTTTATCTTATATTTAATAATAAAATTTTGCTTAATTAAAAATATAAAAATATATTAGAAAATTATTGCGTTTTATAATGATAGATTCAGCATTAACAATAACCCGCTATATTAATTACCGTTCCCTCAAATCCAAAAACAAACCGAAACTGTCCATTAACCTCTGGTTAAATTCTGACCAAACAGACGAGTTGAAGAGAGAAGAGAAAGAGGACCACTTTTTCGTCTGTCTCACCATACCACCACTTGTCCATTCTGTTAATTTCTCAATTTCTCCATTAAAGTTTTTTGCTTTTGTATCTAAAGAGAGAAACTGTTTGATGCTTTACCGTTTTATGTGAGTTTTTGGGGTTGCATGGTGGTGATGGCAGCCAAGAAAGCGTGCGAAATGTTGTCCAAGAGCATGATAGAGGAAGTGCAGAGATGGGGTTGCATGAAACAAACTGGGGTGAGTTTAAGGTACATGATGGAGTTTGGTTCAATTCCTACTGAGAGGAATTTGTTGATTTCTGCTCAGTTTCTTCACAAAGAATTGCCTATTAGGATTGCTAGGAGAGCTATTGAGCTCGAATCCCTTCCTTATGGCTTATCTGAGAAACCTGCTGTTTTAAAGGTACCTTTTTTCTCTAAAACTTTTCAGAGAGATTGTGATTGTGGGTTTTTATCCTCTTTTGGTTCATGTTTTGATATTTGTGTGGGTGGTGATGGAAATGGGGTTTGATGGGAGTTAAAGTGTGTTTCTTAATTATTTTAATAAATCTGTGTTTTCACTGTAAGAAAAGTGGGAACGTGGAGGTTGACTTGTTGTTTTTGGAGGAAAAAAAAAAGTGAGGTTCTGCTTGAGTTTTGAAGATCGTTTTCCTTTTTATGGAAAGTATAAGGTCTTAGGATTTCATTTGCGATTCGCAGAACTGTTGTGTGTAGTATTTTGGAATCAGTACCTTTCTTTCTTTATAGTTTAAAAGGGAGAAGTCAAATGCATTCATTTTATATCCCCAGAAGCAGGAAAAGGTGCTTTTATATGTTCCTTTGCTTTAATTTGCTTGTTCTTAATTTGTTCAGTTTTACCAAACTAGTAATTGGTCATGCCATTGTGAATCACTATTCAGACATAAGAAAGGTGGAAACATTCAGTAAATGCCATTGATTTTTTGGATCTTTTTTTCCATGTCAAAGAGAGTTCAGGATTAGTACTCATTCAGTTTTAAATTTTTATTCTAAGGTCCGAGATTGGTATCTGGATTCTTTCCGTGATATGAGATCCTTTCCTGAGATCAAGGATTCACATGATGAGAAGGATTTTACGCAAATGATTAAGGCAATTAAGGTCAGACATAACAATGTGGTTCCAATGATGGCTTTGGGAGTTCAACAGCTGAAGAAAGGTTTGGGTCCAAAGATTGTTTATGAGGATCTTGATGAGATCCATCAGTTTCTCGACCGCTTTTATATGTCAAGAATTGGAATTCGAATGCTTATTGGTCAGTTCTTGCTTCCCATTGCTTTCTAAAACATATTTTACTGTTTTCTTAAGTTGCCATTGTAAGTTCTAAGGATTTTCCTAATGGTGCCTGGGAGCTAGATTTGAACTTCATATTATGCTTGAATTTTTATGATACTCAGGGCAGCACGTGGAGTTGCACAATCCCAATCCCCCTCCTCACTGTGTGGGTTATATTCATACAAAGATGTCTCCAGTTCAGGTAGCACGAAATGCCAGTGAGGATGCCCGTGCAATTTGTTTACGAGAGTATGGCAGTGCACCTGATGTTAATATCTACGGGGATCCTAATTTTACATTCCCGTAAGTTAATTTTTGTCACTTGGTTTGAGCTTGCATTTTTGTGAATTGCATTGGTTGTTTTTGTTCTTACCTGCTTTCTCTGTCTGTCTCATTTCCTTTTTTTGGTCTTTATCCTCTGTATTGATGTTCTCATGGAAATGTTTCCTTTGACTCCAGTAGTTATTACTAGTCATTTGAAACAATAGAAATATGCTTCTACTTCAGTTGCTTAACAATAGTGTAACAGGTATGTCCCAACTCACTTGCATCTCATGGTATATGAATTGGTTAAGAATTCATTGCGTGCTGTCCAAGAATGTTATATGGACTCAGATAAAGTTCCACCTCCTATCAGAATAATAGTCGCTGATGGCATTGAGGATGTCACTATAAAGGTATTGTGCTCTCTACGTAAGCTGTCAATGAAGGTTTCCACATCTTTTCTTTTACACCTTCTCCATTGTTAGCCTTCTCTTCAACTGCTTGACATGCTACTATTAAGAATCTGTGCCATGCAATATCATTTCATGATGAGATGTGTAACTAATTGGTCTTACTGGCATCTTAGGTCTCAGATGAAGGTGGTGGCATACCAAGAAGTGGTCTTCCTAAAATTTTCACATATCTCTACAGCACAGCTAAAAATCCAGTGGATGAGGATTCTGATCTTGGTGAGGCAGTAATAATGGCTGGATATGGTTATGGGCTTCCAATTAGTCGATTGTATGCTCGGTATTTTGGAGGCGATCTGCAAATTATCTCTATGGAAGGATATGGTGAGTTGATAATTCAATCTTGTCCATTCAGAATATGTTGGTTAACTATATGCCTTTTGATATTAAGAGGACAAGCACATATATCTTAACGATTCAACCAATTTGCAAATGCTTGAAAAGCACTTTGATTGGAATTATGTCATGTGTTTTCGCATGTCCAATAAGTTTGATAATTGTTAGCGCTACTTGTTTTTTTATATGAGCTACCTCCTGTTGGTGAGGATATAGGGGAAATAGACAGGTACGATATCTATACAATCATGTGGATGAGGCCAAATTGTTTCCTTTTCCCTTTAATTTATTGTGTTGGATGGTTGATTGATGAAAAATGTTTATGCACCTCAACCTGCAAGTTGCTGTATTCCTTGTTAGGTGTTTCTAATATTTTCATGTAAGTTTTGCTCTCACAGAAATCTTTGTGTCTAGCTTGTGTGGTTCATTTGCATGATCCACCGAAACTTACTCACTAATTTGTGGTGTTGCATGTGTGCAGGAACTGATGCATATCTTCACCTGTCTCGATTGGGAGATTCCCAAGAACCCTTGCCATGAATGAATGTTCAAAGTTCAGCATTATAATTTACTCTAGGAATATTGAAAAACCTGTTAAAAGGGATATGCAACATTATCAGTTTTCTTTTTTCAATAATAATTATGAGGTTTCTTGTATTTTCTTTATATATAGGGCTCTGCTTTAGGAGAGGCAGGGTTTCTGCTTCCTATTTTGCTCTACAATTCATTTCAACACAAAAAGGTATATAATTCAACTCCTAAAGCATCAGCCATGCTGACAATTCGTTTAGCTAGAATATTAGTGACAGGGCACAATCAGTCTTTGTTGGATGTGATCCATAAACTGGTAGTAACCTGTAATCATACATCAATACCCAGTTATGCATGATTCTGAACTTGATTTCATGTTCTAAAGTTAAGAAGCAGATGCGAGCCCATGTCTTTCGTCTTGGTTGTAATTTTGTTGGGAAGAAGATGCAGAGCATCTCTCGAAGCTTGTATGCTAATGAAATTTGAAATATGGAAACAGCATTCACATGTATTCAATCGTAGCTCTCCGCATTTTCTTCGAACAAAAAAACTTGCAGGATATTGTTTCATCACGTTGTTCAAGCTTCAAAAATGGCCTAACTCGAAGCACGTCAATTAGGAGTATTGAACCATAAATAACAAAATATTTACACCATGAGGAATGATGGACAGGAAAAAGAATGAACATCAACCGATCCATTTAGTTGTTTGGCTTTCAACTTTCAAGAGAGAGAAGACCGGAGGCCAATTCCCCCAGATTGGCAATTGGCCTGGTCACTTGTTACAAGTCAGGAAGGTTATGAAAGATCCTTTCCTTCATTCCTTCCGTCACTCCATCCATTTTGCCAAACAAGTTCATCTTATCCTTTTCATCTCTCCCTCGTTCATCCTCGCTAGTGTTTATATAGACAAGAGAGTGAAAACAAGTCATTTACCTTCTCGTACAAAATGACACCGTATGACGTCAAAGTGCATATATAAACATGAGAAACCCATCGACTTTTAATTTTCATAAGAGGGTAGAGTATGATCTGGACAAAGAGATGTTAAAATCTCGATTAAACTCAATATGGCGATTTCTTGCCATTCAAATAATTAGTGTCTACCAGGAGTTTTAAATGGTACAGCTAACACAATAAAAGCAGCTAAGAACAATTTATATCAATCCGATGCTCTGGGATCATACGTTTTAATGAAAATTTGAAACATTTGAACAAAATTTCCACACGCAGCTCGGCACAGGGAAGAGCATATTTCAAATATTTCTGTCCTTTTTTCTGTGAATTTCTGACAATACAGTTCATTTTGCCTTGCTCCAACAATCTCTATGACACTTTTGATCTTGTTTAAGTCCTTGGAAGATGTAAATTGTGAAACAATAACAAACAGATTCTAGTGCCTTCTTTCCTTGGCACGTTTCCGGGATTGTTTACCCTTTATCTTCCATTTATCATTTCCACCTGGTCGATTCTTTTCCTCAATCTCTCGAACCTTACGCTTCCTGTAACATATTATTACGATAAACAATATGAGCAAGATTAGCAATATGCTGGATTAAAAATCAGCAAAATTTAATTTACCAGAAACCTTGCTTATCAATGGTCTCAAAATCAGTTTCTTTAATATATAGCAGAAATATCAGTTTGTTAACTTATGACAGCAATCTAGATATTAAGCAACAAGAACATTGGCATGGCTAGTATTTTTAGTCCATCAACATGCATGGTTTCATGCTTGAACCACACTTTCACAGACATTTGAAACAATCAATCAACAAGATACTCAATCTATTTTCATCACAAACCATGCTCTTTCAAAGACATTGATGGTTAAGGGTCACCCCCATGTGTTAATGTGATAAATTGATAATCTTGTGTCTTCCTTCGAAATGAGTTGGTGCAACTACTTCATTATCATTTTTTTTTTTTTCCTTTGACAATAAGATATCTTCAATGAAACAAATTACAGAACAGCCTTGTAATGCGCCATCAACATTGTGGTCATCATCTTTCGCTAATAATTAAACCACGTTTCTTAAAAAAAAAAAAAAAAAAAGTAATCAAGTCTCTATCTCACCTGTAATTACGGAAAGTTTGATCAGAAAGCAGCTCATCTGCAATGGTCGCCTTCCTCTCCTTTTTTGTTAGCCTACCAGAGTAGAAATCTGTTGCAGACTCTACAACTGTTCCCACCTGATTATTTGTGAAAACCACATAATGCTTTACCAATTAATCCAGTGAAAATACCCCCCCCCCCCCCAAAAAAAAAAAAAAAAAAAAAAAACATCAAGGAGAAACAAGAACCCCATATGCGTATCATCCAAAAATGTCCTGTACTACACTTTTAGTTTTAAATGGTCACAAAGGATTTACCTGGAAATATTTAGGTAGCTCTTTTGACTTTGAATCACCCCTCTTGTAGTGTCTCTTTGGATCAATAGCACTCCTTAGCTATATCAATAACACAAGAAAGACGGAAGCACAAAGTTAACATCACAGTGCTTAAATCATACGAGACTCCTGTCTAAAACCAACTATTTGATCACTCCACGAGAAAATCCAACCATCACATCATGTTGAGCTAAAAGTGCACAAAATAACATAATACATAAAAATAGAAAATAGCACCTTAAGTAGCTGGAGATCCCTTTTCAACTCTGGAGTTATAGTTGGGGCAGGCATATCAAACCTAATAAACGATTCAAAACAAAAACACAAACACCAAGCAACCAATTCATTTTGTTTGTTCTAAGTTGAGGAAAAAAAGAAAAGGATAGGAACTTCAGTGGTGAAAACATACCAATCCTTTCCTAGTGTATCCTTGCGTTGGCTTTTAATTAATTTGTTTAACTTAATGGGATCATTGGGTGGCACAAATAAGCCATCAACAAGCTGTGAATTGAGTTTCCAAAGTGCACTACTGCTTTCAGGATCAACTGGGTTCTGGATATTTTTTGTTGTAGACGATGAAAAAGTCGGCAACTTTGGCTGCCATGAAATCCCAATCATTGTCCCTTTATCTTTCTCGGGCATTCTGAACTGTGGGAACCGAAACAAATAAGAAACCAACATAAACAGAGATAGAAAGAGATAGCTCAAAGAGAGAAAAAAGACTAACCTTGTGAAGCCGCCAGTAATGATGGCCGCAGCTAGCGCCAGACAGAGTTTGAAGCGAGAAAACGAGAGAGAGAGAGAGAGAGAGAGAGAGAGAGAGAGAGAGAGAGTTATAAGACCGAAACCCTTTGAAATGTGCAAGACGATGGGGTTTTAAGTCTTCTTAATGGGCTTTACATAGTAGCTTCATAATAGCCCACTTTCAAACAAAGGAGCCCAATAAAGGCAACACGCTTTCATAGAAATATCTAGTTTGGCACTGCTGCGGGCAGGCCATAGTTGGATACAGAAAGTAGTTGCTACTGCGGATAGGGCAGGCCACTGTTGGATGCAGAAAACAGTTGGGGATTCTAAGCTGTAAGATTATTAATAATTTTGTTGGCAAATCTTCTTTTTTTTAACGTTGGTTTGTTATTTGGAAATGTTAAAAGCGACGTGGATGTCATAATAAATTAAATATATCAATTTTTTTATTTTTTTGCAATTTATCTATGTAGGTTTATTTTGATAAATATGTAATGCTTACTATTAGAGTACAAATGGTTTGTTTAGAAAATAAATTCAACGATTGTTGATTGTTTGCAGTAGGAGGTGGATCATAATGATCATCATTGGTATATATATATATATATATAAAACGTAAGCTTGCACCAGTGGAATTCCAATCAATAAATTATTATATTTGAGTCTTGGATCAACATAAGCTCGAACCAGTATCTTGTTACTCCTTTTTTTAATTTTAATTTTTTTTAAAAAAAAGTTTCTACTTTGCTTTAATCTGAAATTGAATCTAATTGTATAATTCAAGGTTATTCAAAAGAAAATTAAAATAAAAATTAACTTTTTAGTTTAATAAAAGTCTGGTGCATGTGACATATAAAAGGGATTTATATTTTGCTTTAATTTGAAACCAAATCTAGTTGTCTAATTCAAGTTTATTAAAAAATTCAATCTTATAAAAGTCTGATGCCTGCGACTTATAAAAGGGATTCTCACTTTGTTTTAATTTGAAACTAAATCTAATTGTCTAATTCAAGTTTATTAAAAAAAAAAAAAAATCAATCCTATAAAGGTCTTGTGCCTGGGACATATAAAAGGGATTCATATTTTGTTTTAATTTGAAACTAAATTTAATTGTACAATTCAAGATTATTGAAAAGAAAATAAACTTTTCAATCTTATCAAAAGCCGAATATAATTCATTGGTCTTGCTCTTTCTCTTTGCATACAATTTTTTTTAATATTATCCCATAATAGAAACATTAAAACTTTTATATGAAATGTAAAGCAATTTTCAAAACAAAACCATGTTAGACAATCATCATTAGACTTTAACTTTTAATCCAAGTGTAAGCATCAATGCTCTTTTCAACAAACAACATCCCTCTAAACCTATTTTTCAAATCCAAATCCCAAGCATAAATCACTTCTTTTTATAATACTACTACTTATTCGCTAAAATAGTAAATCAACATCCTCAAATTTCAAATCTCAAAAAAAATAAAATCAAATCAAATATCATTTAAACTTAAGACATATACATACCCGGATACATAAAAAAAAATATTAAATAATAAATAAAGGTACTTGTTTGGAGGAAAATCATCAAATTTGTAGTAGAATTTATTTTAAAGAACCAAATACCAAGTTTTTAAAAAGATCACAAAACCTAATGATACTAAAGATGATAAAAGACACACTCACCGAACATGAAGGAACACAACTAGTTGATCGAATATAGAGAAGCTACAATGGATAGCCAACAAATTAAAATGACAAACATTCAAATAGCAACTAAAAATAGTAAAAGCAAACAAGAGGTTAATAGTTTGACAAAAAAAAAACCTACTAAAGCAAGGCACTCAAGAACTAAGAGCATACAACCATGCTTGTAAT